GTTCAGATCTTTACTGTGTGAACGTGTGGTCTGGAATAAAACATTTTTTGTGCATGGGAGCAGAAAAACGGAGACCGAACAGAAAATTTGATCATTTTTTTCTCAGAACCTTCATTTTTCAAAACGTCTGATATTTTTGAGAGAAACTCTATGAGAACTTGAACCGATGTACTCTGAGTAAACCAGAAGAAGACTCTGAGTTATGCCCTGAAGTCTGGATAGCACCCTTTTCCCCTACTGAAAGACATCTTCAGCCACAGCCCCGGGCTGTTTGTGTGTCCGTGGAGGATCTGCGTGTTTGGGAAGACGACCCCTACACTTGCGAAGCGACAAAGTGATGCTGGCGAGATGAAAGAAAGAAGCGTAGCACGAGCAGAGGAGAGCTCTAGGGCAGAGAAAAACCCAGACACTCTGTTACACATCAAAGAGGGAGCCAGTGATACAATCATCTCTTTAGGCAATGAAAGCCCAACTTTATTAATTAAAACACTTCTGTTGAATCATCTTCTCATCTCTCCCTTCCCACTTTACTCATTTTATCACTCATTTTCGGCAATGGCGCTGATTACGAAAGGAAAGAATAGAGGGGGTGGATGTGGGAGGACGCATAAAGCAGGCCGTTCCTGGATAGACTTCCACATCCAGTTGTTGCTCACACCAACAACAGGTGTGCGTCTTGCAAGTCGTGCAAAATGTGTAATATTAATAAGCAATGAATAAGAGGAAATAGGAGGCGAGAACTTGAGAAATAGGAAGAGAGGGGAGGAACAGGAAGAGATGAGATGGAGGAGATAGACTGAACTGTATGGATAAATAGAGAAAAGGGTCCATTGTGTCAACAGCTGTCTAAATAGCCCTCAGATCACTGTCAGGCATTATCGTACGCGCGCACACACATATATGTGCATAGTTAGGCACACACTGACTGACAGCACCCCCTCAGTCCAACATCTGTGCTGACAGCAGCCATGGTAATGAGTCTCTGCATGTGCCAGCATGGGTGTGTCGCTTCTTTTTCCTCCTTCTTTCCCGGCGCATAGCTCATTCAATCATTTCACTCGTCTTGTTGTTTTCCCCCCGCTCTTTTCTTTTCGTTATTTCTACTTTCTTTTTTTTTACCCCTCGTCATCTTTTTAGGAGCACGTGCTGATTGACTTTTCCGCGCTCGAGTAGCAACTAAATGAGAAACATTGTCAAGTGTGAAGTTGTGTGGCAGATCGGAGCGCTTTTCAGGTGCACCGCACCGCACGTAGAGGTGTGGAGGAAGAGAGGGATGAATGAAGGGAGAGATGAAGAGATGATGAATGGCTCTCGTTAGAGGGGTAATTTGTCTCTCCTTGTCTGACTGGGCTCCAGCTGTCGCTCCATCCTTCGCTCCACTCTGCTCTCCTCTCCCTCGGCCTACCGCTCCTCACCTCAGCCAGATGGGTGGACGGATGGACGGATTGAGGCAGGAGGGAGGGAGGGACGGAAAGGAAGGCAAGGACGCGGAAGAGAAGGGAAGGGAAAGCATTGAGGAGCCAACTAGCAGAATTATGCCTCATGTATAATGCCGTTGCAGAGTAAGGAATGGCTTCACGGAGAAACAATAGACGATGCTAAACTCATTCGCTCATTCACATGCAGTAGCTCAGCAACAGGCAAAGCTTATTCGCTTGTATGACTCATACAAGCAACTCAAAGCCTGGTGCCCGCGGAACAAACTAATGACGGCTGTGTGCATGTGCACGCGTGTGTGTCGTGTGTTTTACATTGTACACAAATCATCAAGGGACATTGCTAATACTTCTAATACAATGCTACAGTCTTAGGATTGCCTAGATTCTCCCCCATGATACGCTTCTTTTTCACACTAATCAACACTTGCGCGAGAGAGCTGTAGATTCAAAGTGAGTGAGAGACGGGCACAGGGAGAGGAGGACTGAGAGATGTATACAGATGGCCAGGGAGGCGGCTGAAGGATGGCAATGAACAAATCGTCAGGAGAACCACGTGAGCTCATTGCCAAGTCTTTGTTCTAATAACACAAAGCAATTTCCACTGACCTTTCTAGAAATGTAGCGGGCAGAAATGACTGAGTTAAGGATGCCCCACAGCATAATTGCTAAGGAGATTAAAGTTCCCTTAATTGCTTTTGGCCAACTAGTGCAATTTTTCCTTTTTTTGTGATTAAAGGCATTTAGAATATTAATAACAGCATGTGCACGAGCTCTCACACACACAGACGCAGCTGTGTGGACCCGCGACAAAAACATGCATGTTTCTTCTTCTGCTTCTTCTTCTGCAAGGTGTGCTGCAACACATTTGCCATTTTTCTATTGCCAGTGGTCACCAGTAGCCTCATTGTAGGCTTTGTGAAATATGCAAATCACTAGGTTCCCTCTCATCATTCTTTAAAGAGTCACTTCATGTAGATCATTGGGCCTTTTTTTTTTTTTTTTGCTCGTATCGGTGGCTTATTCCCCCTTTACCTCTTTATTCGTTTTGTTCCTGTCCTCCATCTTGCTCAGTCCCCTCTTATTGCCTCTTCCCCTCCTAATTCCCTTCCTCTATTGCTTTCTTCCTCGCATTTTTTTCCCTTTTATTGGCAATAAGTTTTGTCAGCTCATAGCTTCTTGACTGTCCCCCAAACCCCCTCCATACCTCTCTCTCTCTGTCTGTCTCTCCTGCTCTTGATTTCCCCGGTTAACCCTGTAACCTCACTGTCTCCCCCCACCTGCGTCCCCTTGTCTCCATCAGTCTCTGCCTGTCCCTCTCTGTCCGTCCCCTTTTCCCTCCTGTCGGCCACAGTGTTTGCTTTGTCATTGTTTATCCATTTTTCTCTGTTTGCTCTGATGAGATTGACCGTACACACACACAGGCACACACACATACCTAAACAGAAGACAAGGCTAGCATGTCTCTGGGGTGTAGTTAACGTGGGGCTGTGGATCGATCCTAGCTCTGGTTTCCATGACGCAAAGCTCTGAGCTGGAGCAGTTTGGACAGCAGGATGGAGGCATCAGTCTGTCTCTGTTTCTATCAAATAAATCTCTGCAAAAGCCGCGACAACACCTGGAGTCAAAGGTGTATTTACCATGATTAATGCGTTTCATTTTGATGCCGCATAGAAGGGTGCGTTAGCCAACAAATATGTCCAACCGCTTTGTTTCTTAAGTGATGTCTGCATTGATCTTTCTCCCCTCCCTCGCCCAGGTGCCGTTTCTCCCCCGAGGCGAGCAGAATTGCATTGTCACTGAAAAAAAAGCCCACCATGCCCCCCGATCTATCATGCCCTTTGCAGTTTTTTGATTCCCGTCAATGCTCTGTGATGGGAAGATGAATGCTGTCAAATTACAATCACACCACATCTGTATTCTGAAGGAGCGCCAGTAAGGGGAAAAAGAAGAAAGGGGGGGGGGAGATAGTGCAATGATGAATGTGCAGCTATCTTTTCTTTTTCTCCAAGGTCTCAATGCTTTTCTGTCTTTCTCCTGCTATGTTGCTGACTGTTTTTGTTCTGTGTGAAAAGAAAGAGAAAGGAGACTGAAAGGCTGTGTTTTCGATTTTCCCGCTGAAGTCTTCGGCGACAAACGAACAAATAGATGAAGTTTGTAGAACTGGAGAAGAACTAGACCGCTTTCCCCCACACACTTAAACTTTGGGGGAGAAAAAATGGATAATTTGTTATTGTAAAGAAGAAAAAAAAAACATGGCTGGCTAACAAGGGATCTTACTTTGAAGGAGGAGAAAATAAGTGATTGTGTTAAAAAGTCTTCGGTCGACTATCTAATTAGTAGTTATAATAACCTGAGTCCTTCTGTGGATTGACTGGACTCAGTGGCCTCATTCTTATCGTATTGTTGATTGATTGAGCTGCAAATATGGCAGACATAATTATTCTATATTTTGAGCCGTCTCTAAATAGAATTTATTAGATTTGTCTTTGTCCTTGATTCCAAACCTTTGGAGAGTAGAGTGAATTCTCTCCATCCCACTCTTCTCTCTCTGGTGTACGGGACAGCCTGATTGTGTCCACGCATCCCATGGCTCCTACTATTTAAAGACTTGGCTGTTAACTTTCTTTTGTCTTACCCATGTAGAGGACAATCGTATCATGGATATAGGTCCTAGCAGAAGTCTTCTACCATTGGTTTTGAACTATTTTAATGACAAAATAACAGATGCTTATAAATTGCACCGTTGGTCAATTCAGTATGACCCCGTTGCTTCATTTGGTCATTTTTTAGGTGTTTACAGGAGTAGATAGCGTCCTGTGTCAATTTTGGCATGTGTATGAAAAAACATATATGTATATACGTGTGTGTGTGTGTGCGTATAGTACTGTGAATGGCTTTAAACCACTTATATCAATATTTTGTTTTAAAAAAATGAGAAAACAGCACTAAAATTGTCATGACTTGAAAGGAAACTTTTTTTGTACTCATTAATGCACTTAGGAGATCTGCACTGATCGTTCTCTGTGTCTCAGCCTTCTGTGATTGTACCCAGCATGTTCTACATTATTAATATCAGGGGGATGCTCAAAGAAGCAAGTTTAATTAGGGGTTAACCGGATAGCTTTGTTGAATACAGTGTGCGTGCAGCAGGTGTTTCTATCCGTGTGCAGATTTTTAAGCCTTAAAGGTTAAGGTTAGCTCAAATTAAGTAAAGCACAAAAAAATAAAATCTCTCATTCAGAGACATTTGGATCTTAATTTTACACATTTGCATTAGCTCTGTCCAACCAGTAATCAGTAATACCAATAAAACATTTTTAAAAATTCAGTTACCGTAAAATTTGGATTGATCCCAGAGGTATTAAGTTACCTGTAATTTGAGTCAACAGGGCCCTTAAAAAAAAATGGTGGCATCTCCTCATTAATAATATCCACGTCTCCCATTCAGGTTGCCTCTGTGAGCAGGCCCCTGTATCACTGTCAGACAATGCCATCTGTTTTGTCTAACGTCCCCTCCGTCCTTCTCTGCCCCCCCTCTCTTTCTGTCCCTCCATCCTCCAGGTCGTCCACTCCCTCCAACCTCTTCCTCCACCCTGCTCCCTCCGTCCCTCCCGTCCTCCTCGTCCGCCCCCCACCACCCCTCCCCCGGCCCGTCTCCACCGATCAGGGAATGCCAGGTGCCCCTGCTGGAGAAAAACTCCACCCACTCTCACCTGGAGCCCCACCCGGAGGATTCATACTTGCTCCGGGCCCAGCCCTCGTCCACTGGTAAGAGAGCGCTCCATTCAACCATCCTTTCATTCTCTCTTCTCTTTTTTTTTTCGTTTTAATGTTTGCATCAATATGCCATCCATCACCTGAGTCGATGCATTACCTCATCATGTGTCCATTTCCTGATCTGATTTAGTCGTTCAGTAAAATGCCAAGCAATGCTGCGCTTTAATTTAATGTCACATCTTGTTCGGCTCTGGCCATTTGTTTCTGCTCCTCTGCATTCCACTGAAGTCAGCATTTGTTTGCAAGGCTGGAAATCAAACCGAGGGGACGTTTTTACTGTGATTGCTTTAAAATAATAAGAGAACGTAAAAAAAATAAATAAATAAAATTTGTGGCCAGTAATAGGTGGGTTTTTTTTCGAGAAGATGTAAAACTTTTAATTTGGATCATTCGTGGATGAATTCAAAGCAAACAATTACAGCGTCAGGTAATCGTTATATGACACTGATTGTAATAAAAAACTGTTTATGATTTTTAAATCAGTTGTTGCATAAGCATAAAAAGAACGAATAAAAAAACCCTGTCTTCCTTTTATTTTTTTGTGGCACATGTGACAATCCTAGACTGACAATTGCTGATTCGTTAATGGATTGCATTTTAAATGTAACCCTCCCACCTTAACCAAAAAAAAAAAAAAAACAATGATGCAAGGGGAAGCAACCCCCTACACTCTGCAGAGTGCAGCTTGGTTGCCACTGAGTAGGTGTGCTTGTAGTTATTTTCCATATGACATTAATAATCCGCTGGAAAGTGAAAGGTAAGGGGATGATGAATTTTAAGTGCCAGCAGGAGGATCAGCGTAGCAAAGACAAACTAGTTAGTTTCCCCAGCTTTAAGCTTTCTCTTTCATCACCGGGCCCTTCTTGTTGGCTGTTAGAGGCCTCGTGTGTTTATATCAGCACCTCACAACTATTTTTCTCCTCTTACGCTGTGTGTGCGTACATATGCACGTGCAAACGTCTGCAGTGATGAGGCTGTTCATCAGTATACGCATTTATTCTCAACAATTAGCTACTGTGGGGCAACTCTATGCCTCCCTTTCCCGCTCTTCCCTGTTTCTCCATTCCTCTGTGCATCTGCACTTGTAATCAGTAGATATATTTAGCAAAGGCCTGATGGGAGGGAGAGGGGTGGGCAGAGAAGTCCTAATGTGATTTTTGGTGGAATACAATCTATTGTTAATGGCGTTAGGCTCTCCTTTGATCCAGTATAAATCTTCATTAGGGAAGGCCCGGGTCCCAGGTTCAAGAGCAACGTGATTAGGAGGCTTTTAAAATGACGTTACATCAGCCTTCTAATTGGTTTACTGTTTGCTGGGGCAACATCAATCATTAGCCCAGTAACCGCACAGCAAATAAATTCACTCTGCCACTGACACCCTAATGGCAGACACTGGTAAAGAGGGAGAGTGAGGCTCGCAGGCGCACTCTCTCTTTCTCTCATTCTTGTTCGTATACACCCACACTTTCTGTTGTGGGGCTTCTTTCAGTCTCTGCTGAGCTTGTACGCGCAGACAGCGAGCAAGAGAGACAAAGAAAGAAAACAATGACGGAGAAGCTGGGAAAGAAAAAAAGAAGAAGAAGAGGCACAAAGAGGCAAATGGGAGCAGAGAGAGGGGGGGGGGGGGGGGAGAGAGAGAAAGCCAAACTTTGACTTCTTAAAGTTGTTTAATGAGACATCGTGCATGAAAAAAAAAGGAGAGAGAAAAGAAAGCAGCCAGAACACACCAGTAAAAATAGATGGGGATAGGGGGGAAGTGAGTGAAAGGGAGACAGAGACGGAGGCACGTAGAAAGTTGAAGAGACACGGGGTAAAAAAGGGTAAACTGATGAGAGCTTCGAGGTTGAAAGGGAGATATTTGGATGGGAGAGCAACAACATTCGGGTGAAAGTGCTACTTTTCCAAGCTAGGACTGCCGATCTAATGGTGTGCAGAGAGAGTCCTTGGCTTTGGGCATCCATTAAAATCGGCCTAAATGAGTTCAGAGTGTCAGTCTGGCACTGCATAAACATAGCCTGGCATGCAGGCGAGGCGAGCGATGGCTGCGAGCAAATAAAACACCTATAACCGGCGACTGTTTATGCATGTGCTGTGAAAGTGCATGCCTGTCTGAATATGTGTTTGGTGTGGTCCTGGAGAGAGTAGATGCTGGGCAGGAAATGAGCCTTACCAAGCCAGGCAGAAACTGACCACAGCGAGATAATCCTCAGGAAACTGCATGCTGCGTGTGTGTGTGTGCGTATTTGTGTGTGTGTGTGTGTGTGCTCCTCTAAAGTAGTCCACCATTACCTAAGCTAACAGGTGGACAGACATGACTTGTGTTCCTAGTGAAGCGTGACAGGTGAATGGGAACGGAACGTTGTTGCCGAGGATTGGCTGGGAATTGGTCTGCGAATGTTTATATGGGAATACTGTCTGGCTCGGAGCACCTGTCTGGGAACGCTCCCTCGGAACGACGGGAGAGCTGAGACGACCAAACGGAGCGTAGCAGATCGCTCCTGGAAAGAGCTAGCATTAGCGCTGTCTCTGGCCATTCATTATGCATGGGGAACACTAAGCTATTTTTAGCTCAAGTCTCTTCTAAAGTGGCTAGCTATCTGCTGCCAGGGAAGCCACCTCAAGTCACTGCCGAAGCAATGAATGTTTAATGGCTTTGTTGAAACAAATCTACAGAAACAAAGGCACAACAAAGACACACTCCGTTCTTCTCCGCTAATGTTATTCTTCCCTAATGGTGCTTATGTAAGGGTGACATTTGCAAAGCAGTTGGACAATTTGTGCATTTGTATTTGTGTGTGTTTGTGTGTGTGTGTGGTGGGGGGGTGGGTGCAGGGTAAAATGCACGCATGCATTTCTGCTCATAGACTGTTTGTTTTTGGCTGAATTTGATGACTCTTCTCTAGCGGATTATTGCCTCCTAATTAGACAGAGATGACTAGCCAAGGCAGAGGCGGTGTGTGTGTGTGTGTGTGTGTGTGCATGTATGTGTGTATAAATGTATGTCTTTAACTTTATTTTCTCTCTGTGCCAGCACGTGTCTGTTGTAGTGTGTGCAATGGTGTACAATAAAACCTTAGTGAGAAATAAGCTCCTTTGTCAGGCTGTGCGCACGCGCGCGCGTTTGTGCGTTTGTGTGTGTGTGTGTGTGTGTGTGTGTGTGTGTGTGTGTGTGTGTGTGTGTGTGTGTGTTTCACCTCAAGTTCTCCTTCCATGCTCAGCCTCAGAGCTCTGAGAAGAATGACAAATGAGGAGCATGTGACATTCTCAGCTAGAGGACGCATGAAGCAGCAACACATGGGAATATACCACCCTTAAAAACATGGGGAGCATGGCAATTAGATTGGAAGGGAAGGTGCATGAAAAACAATGAAGGTTGGTGCAGCAGTTTAAAAAAAAAAAGAAAAAAAGGAAAGTGGAAGCAGTGGAGATATGGGGCGTGAAATAAAGAGATGGGTAGACAGAGGGAGTGAGAGGGATAGAGGGACGATAGGGAGCGAGGGGTGGGAGCTGAGCCCTGCAATGATCCCTTTTTAACTGCTGAATGGGCATTTCTGTCCTGCACACAGGCACACACACACAGATGCACATCCTGCCCCGTGACTTTTCTCTGTTAACCACAGAAAATGTCAATAAACAGTTTACCCATCCAAGGCTGCAAAACAAACTGCCTTGGTTGGTTCTTGCTGCCAGTTGGCCACACACACACACACACACACACTGTGAGATTAATATGATGTGCGAGGCCCTTCCTCTGGCTGAAGTGTGTTTAACAGGTTAGCAGACAGGCTAATGCTCTTCTGCTGAATGAGGCCACTTTGAATTGGCGAGCATAATGAACTTCCAGGGATTAGCCCGAGCCAAACGCACCAGCTTACAGCTATAGTCCCCCTCTCTCTCCGGTCGCAGGGGACCTTGGACAAGAATAAACTGGGTCAGGCTTCGACAGCAGTCGGAAGGGGGCTCAGAGCTTCTCCACAAAAAACAAAACAAAACCAAGAGCTGTCAAGTAAATGCTTTCTGTTTACTCACACTGGCGAGTGAAAGAGAGGGAAAAGAAAGGAGGAAAAGATAAAGTGGAATAAAAAGTGATCTGCTTGGCTGCTCACTAATTGCTCTATTTCCTTTTTTGCATGTTTGGTCTTTTATCAGACCAGGTTCCTAGTAAAACGGTTGTTCCTATTAGCCTACCTGCGGGTTGTAGTTTGGAAACCACACACTTTATCTGACTGAGTCCCCTATCCTAATTTATTAGAACCATTTAGCTCAAGATTGCTCATTCCTGCACGCCGCCTCTGTTCCAGTGGTTACTCGCGTATGTGTATTTGTGGCCAAAACAGAAACGCAAATGTTTTCTTCGGTTCTCTGCATGTATGAAAAAAACCTTGTACCTCGGCCTTGCTCCTCCGGCAGACCCCACTTCTCAATATGTTTGTGTTTTCTCCAGCGAGCTCTAAGGGTTGTTTTTTGGGTTGTGTTTTTTTATGGATTTGAAGTCTGCATGAGAACAAATTTCTTTGACATCAATCTCCCGTGCTGTAGCAGAAAAAAGAAAGCAATTTGTCTCTGATCATAAATATTTTGTAGCACGTCTAGAAATATTTTTCTTCTCTTTTCTGTTTTTTTTCCTCCTTTCTTTCTTTCTTGAACTTCTACCAAAGGTTGAGGGACTTTTTGGAAGAATAGTGCTTTCTTTAAAAAACTTGTTCTTTTTTTTCTCGCTGCAGCACGTTCTACAACAACACAAGCAGAGCATTAGTAATGAGTCGTTATCCACTTTATTCAGTAAATATTGATTCAGCGAAGAATAAAAGGAACAATCGCATTCTATCATGTAACAATTCAGTTCGGTTAGCCCGACAGAACATGACAGCCGTGGCGGTCCCAGTAGGCTATGAAGAGAGTTAATGCATAGAATTACAGGCAATACTTTTCTCCGAATTTACATTTTTCTGACATTATCTGGAGACGTGCAATTGAATTTGCTGCTGAATGATAGATAACAGGATTAGCATTTTTTTTTTTCTTTTGCTTTGAGTCTGCAAAGCAAAATGCACTTATTACAAAAAGTGGTGGATGCAAGTTTCTGCAGACAGAACAGAGCGTGACTCGATACCTGCGCAACATAATTTAGTGGCTGGATATTTGAAGAAAACCTTCTCCGGTGGTTGGAGTGTGTCTGCACACACACATACACACAGAAGATTTTACCACATTTACGCACCCAGGCTACAGCAGTTTGTGGGAAAAGTAGGGCTGGGAAAAAAAGAATTCCTCTTCCATACAAGGTGTGCCATATATTATTCATCCAAATTTGAATGAAAAACCTGTTCAATATTTATGGGAGAGAAAGTGAACAAAAGCATAAGGCATGCATTTTTGTACGCAGATTTAAACATGGGAGACAGCAGGCTGGTCTAGTGAGCGTGGGGTTGCCTAGTTTTATTTTTTGCATCGCTGGGACTGTGTCCGTGCCTGCATACGTGCCCAGCCAGTATACGGCTTTTGTTTTTTGTATTTAGATGTGCGTGTGCTTTTGTTGATATGGGTACACTATATAAAAGTATTTATGCAGATAGAGTGCAGTACAAGGTATTTCACATTTATAGGGACATTGCAGGGAGGGGAAGTCTAGTTAATTTTATTTATAAAGTGCTTTTAACAAACAAGGTTCATCTTAAAGTGCTTTACATTTCAGCAAAGGAACACAAGGAACATGCAAATAAAAGGAAGATGAAAGAGAAACAATCCTTAACAAGAAATAGCGCAGTATAGGAAGAAGGAGGAGGAGGAGGGAAGTACACGAAATAAACCCCACCACATGCTTTAATATCAATTTACGTGCAGAGTTTATGATAGAGAAGGATGGCCTTTCGGGCTGTGTTGTGGCTACATGTATGCGGGTGATTGCATGCACGCATGTGTATCTGTTTCTCCCAAGAGCATCTTTGCACGCACAAACAGATGTTTAGCGTCTCTCCTGTGTAGCAGAGGTCAGGCCCCATCTTTTTTTCCCCCAGTCTCCTTCCCTCCTCTCGCCCCTTCTCTCCTTTCACGAGCATCTGTTCTCCAGCCACGGCGGTGACACCTGCATCCCCGCGGTATCGCAGAGGAATCAGGTCACCTCGCAAACTGGTTGTCATTACAACGGGAGTTGCAAGCAAGCCGGGTTCCCCTTAAACACCCGTTCAGGAGAACAAAGAAAGATGCATTTGCATAATGTAGATGCAAAATGCATTCGTCTTCTGATTTGGTTTCTATCTGTCAAAAGTCGTCACCCCCCCCCCCCCCCCTCCCTCTCACACACACACACGTGAACAGGCAAATATCAAAGCGGAAGAGCAGACAGGAGAGTTCAGCACATCCACACTTCTCCCTTCCTCTCGCACGCTGTTTCTTTTCTTATCAAATCCAAGAGAAGATGACATATGGAGGAGGGCAAGTGTGATCACGCAGCTTGACAAAGCAGTTGCTTTTTTGTTGTTTTCACCCCACACATATGTGTGTGTACGTGCTCCAAACTTTGATCAATTGGAGAAAGACGACGCACCAAGTAAACAGTCTCATGTATCTCCATACTCAGTGATGATGAAAGTCTGATGCGTGGCATCGATGAAAGAAATAGCAAACGATGTCGTAAAGCTGCGTGAAGCATAAATGACGTGCAGGTTTTGCACTGTCATGATATGTAATTTTTTAAGCAGCTGGCAACAAAAAAAGTATGTTAAGATCTCCTGTACCGTATAGTATGTGGTTTATTGATTTTCCCGTGCAAACCCACACACACGCACGATGAAGATGGGCTCAAATCCCCCACTGATTCATGGAAAGAGGGAGAGGGGGAGGGGGAGAGAACTGTGATGTGTGAATGGGTGTTCTCGTCCGAGTCATCCGGGTTTGTTTTTCAGCTCTCTCACTCAACAGTCCATTAGCTCATTGTTGGAAGGGCTGGTATTGGATTCTAGCTGACATGTTCCCCCAAGTCTGAGAGCAAGAGATGAGGGCGCACGCTGTGCTGAGTGCTCTAATATTGCTCACACGCATCTTTTTGCTACTTGGGGGGAAAAAGAAAACTGGAGAGAAAACGTAAAAGTGAGACAAGGAGAGAGAGGAGTGGATAAAAATGAAGATGGACAAAATGGAGAAAAACGTGAATCAAAATGTAAGAAGATGATTATCAAATTCCACGTATCTGTTGAGCTGGAATTTCCTTCTCAAATAAGTTATCGACCGTTTGGAAAACATGACACCTACTCCGAACCAAATGATTGCAGAGGCAAAAGTAGTACATAATGGAATGATAATGAAGTTATTTGCAAGCTGAAGAGCTTTGCTTTTGACATACTGCGAAATAATCACCAAATATCAAATAACATTTCTGTTCTACTTTTGGGTTTGTAGCATTTTGGAACCGAGTCCTTGATCCCTTTGATCTGAGACTCTATTTTCACACAGAAGTGCTTTTCTTAAATTCGTCTCTGTGCTTGTTTTCTTCCAGGGGCTGCCAACCACCAGAGTCAGACCACGCTACGACCTCCACTGCCCCCTCCACACAACCACCACACTTTGTCCCACCAGTCTGCCAACAGCCTGAACAGAAACACCCTGAGAGGCGGACGAAACCCCATTCACGCACCCGCTCCGGGGACGGGAGATGGTCCGACCACCCCTGAGTCTGTCCAGTTACAAGACAGCTGGGTGCTTAACAGTAACGTGCCGCTGGAGACCAGGTCAGAGTATATATTTTCTGTTTTGTTTTGGATTGTTTTTCTGTTGACGGGTTTACCTGACGCTGATATCTGGAGCCACTTACAGTAAGCACAGCAGTTGAATAAGCCTTGAGTAATCAATAGTGAGGAATGAAAGGTCAGATCCATTCAGCAACATTTCTGTAAGCTCAGTGTGGCGGTGTCAGACAGAAATGTTAGAAGAGAAAGAAAGAAGCTGTGGTGTATTTGGCCATGATGTAAAATAACAACTATTCACTCACTAGGACTACCACAAAACGTGTTACTCTAAAAATGAAAGAATACTTAAGAACTTAAAAAGGAAGGCAATTAGGGAACTGGGAACAAATCAATGGAAGGTCTTGGCAGACTAGCAAAAAAATATTAGACTCCATGGGCCATGGACACTTTTCAAACTATGCCCTCTTGAAATAAATGGTGCTGTAACCTAAGTGATGAAGTAACTATTTAGTAAGCTGCTGTGGCTGACAAGCTGACTGGTAACAGAGTGTCTTAATAACACTGGCTATCTCTAGCCAGTAATAAGCTGTCGGAGCTTTTTTGCCGTGGCAACTGCTGGTAAGCTTTTGGGAGCCTTTTAACTAGTCTGTGTTTAACTGTGAGTTAATGATACGGCAGCCCTGAGAGGTCAAACACACTGGAGCTTAAGAAAAAAACACAATGGAAATATAAAATCACACATTGGAAGTATAAAAAAACAAAATCTCACAAAACACAACAGAAGCGTTTCTGGGGGCACAATAACGTGACGGATCAGCGGAAGTGAAAAGAAGCAAAGCATGCAAAGGACTGCACTGAGACATGCTTACAGGAAGCGGAGGATGTGTAGGGTAATGTGTGTTTACGTCACATAGAGCAGCGGTCCCAAACTTTTTTTGCGCCACGGACCGATTTATGTCCAACAATATTTTCACAAACCGGCCTTTAAGGTGTTGCGGATGAATACAACAAAATAAAACCAGTACTGGTACCAAAAAAGGAAGATTTATTCATAACACACGGGAAAAGACCCAGGGAAACAGAGTTAATTATAAATCGATAAAAAAATAACGATAAAAAACCAATAAAAACCCTGAAAACTATAAGTTTCACACCCGAGCCTCAACTCTCGCGGCCCGGTACCAAACAACTCATGGACCGGTACCAGTCTGTGGCCCGGGAGTTGGGGACCACTGACATAGAGTAATATAATACTATGTTGGCTATTAGCCGTTTATTGTTAGCTTGTGACCTCTGCAACTGCTCTGTCATGTCATTGTATCCCCAAAAAACACTTAATGTTGTGTTGGACACTGTATAATAGCCCCAAAATCTGTAAATATTTATTATTTAAATATTTGCGTTCTTGTGTAAGAACAGAGACAATTAATATTAATTAATTAATAATAATTTGCTTAGGCTCCAGCTTAGTGGTTATTAGCAAATTACTAGCAACATTCCACTTAACCATTCATCAGCTGCTTTTTCTTGAAATCTACATATAAATAAATCAAAAACTTTTGTGTTTTTTAAAATATTTTGGACCATTAACAACAACAAAAAAAATCTACCCATCCCAGCTTTAAAATGAAAGGTCCACTTTGACATCGCCATTCCTTTAAAGGTCAGCAAAGCTTTTAACACCGAAAAGTGGAAAAGTAAAATGTAGACACTTCTCCAGCTGTAACACAAACCTATCACAGTCAGAATATTCATTAACTCCAGTCTACAAAGCTGTGTTCACCAAACCTAAAAAGAATCCACGTTTTAAAACGTGATCTAAGCCTGCAAAATTTCATTACAAACTCCACCTCAGAGCGCTGCACAAACTACTCTGCCTTCACAAGTGAAACCACTTATTGCAATTGCACTGGAATTAACTGACCCTGTATTTGCTCTTAAAATGCTGCTTTGACCGTTGTCCCTTGTTATTTTTTGTTATTTAACACCCACCTAACACCAATTTATTTTTTAATTCAACAAATCACTGATTGTCTCCACCATGATGAGTTTGTATATTTAGCATTCTTGTTATAAATGTTATGGAACCCTGAGATATGGATATCAGTTCATAGGCACTGTGAGAGTGGAGCACCTGCATGAATTGTCTGAATAATACAGTTCAGCTAATTGTCTCTTAAACGTCCATAATTAGGTCCACAATATGTTGCACAAAGATACAATTTCTGTATTTTTTTCTCTTTTATACCAACACAATGGATTTTAAGTCAAATATATGATCAAAGTGCACACTAGCAAGGGTTTTTACAACGTTTCGCATTAACTTTGAGACATTTTCAGAGTCCCAGAAATAATTGTGTGTTTGTGACAAACATCATCACGACCAAACAAGTCCTGTTCTCTTACAGACATAATAGCTGAATGATGAATTTGCATTTTATAGTTTCTCACTATCAACAGATATCAGTGCAAATATGGTTGCCATGATGAGGTTGAACAAAACGAAATGAACCTATCAAAGAGAGAGGAACAACTTTAGGAGTGGCCAAATCAACAGTTTGGTACATCTGGCACCAAAAAGGCCTGGGAGACCACAAGTACAGTGCACAATCACAGAATTATTTCCATGATTAGGAAAAAAATAAAGTGTAAAACTCTGATTATACTCAAGAAGAAGAAGACCAGATGAGCCAGAAAACATAGTATGTAGAAGGGGTAAGGAACAGCTTAGGTACACCCATAATATGGATAATGACCCATATACAGGAAAATTCTTCAATGGCAAAGTCAGTCGTTTGTTCTCAGCCAAAAAGAGAATTCTCTTGATCTTAATAAGTATTGAAATTGAATTCAAAAAAGACCCACGCAACAGAAGGTGGCTGCAAAAAAAGGTGAGAGCATCTCAGTGGAGGACACACAGCATTTATGTGCCGTCCACAATTCTAAACTTCAAGCAGTCACTGACTGCAAAGGATTTTCATCCAAGTACTAATAACTATGCTTGTATTTAAAATTGTTAGTTTCTCAGTTTGAGCCTCTGAAAATGGGTAACTGTGTTTAAAAATTACTGTCATTCCTAAGCAGTTAATGCAAAATGTTTGTAAAAGCCCCAGAATTAAAATTGAAAGTCTGCACTTTAATCACTTAATGATTGTATGCTTTAAAAACCCATTGTGGTGACGTACAGAGGCAAAACTACAAAATGTGTCTCTTTGTCCAAGGAATTATGGACCTAACTGTATCTGCACTGTTTTAGTTCCCAAAGCAACCACGATCTCACACATTTCCATTATTTCTAAACCAGTATATGAACCTTTAAATGAAAAGCCAATGGCTCCAGGCTGTGATTCATAAAAGTGTGCTGCTCAGTTTCCTTCTCTACCTCATCCCCAAATAGGACACCTTACAAAAGAGTATTATGCATGCAACCTGGAGTGAAGAAGCAGGAAATACAAACCTTTTTTACACACTCTACACA